GTGTCACACTCTGGGATTGGTGTTACCTCCCTGGGATTGGTGTCACACTCTGGGGTTGGTGTCACCTCCCTGGGATTGGTGTCACACTCTGGGATTGGTGTCACCTCCCTGGCATCATTGCCACCCCTTGACATTGCTGTCACTCCTCTGGGATTGGTGTTACTTCCCTGGAATTGGTGTCACCCCCTTGGCATTGGTGTCACCCTCTGGGATTGGCATCACCCTCGGGCCTTGGTGTCACTTCTTAACATTGGTGTCACTCCTCGACATTGGTGTCACCTCCCTGGTATGGGTGCCATCCCCTGACATTGGTGTCACCTCCCTGGGATCATTGCCACCCCCTGATATTGGTGTCACCCTTCTGGCATTGGTGTCACCCCCCCGGCATTCATGTCACCCCCTTGGCATTGGTGCCACTCTCTGGCATTGGTGCCACTCTCTGGCATTGGTGTCACTCCTTGACATTGGTGTCACCTCCCTGGGATCATTGCCACCCCCTGACATGGGTGCTACTCCATTTGGCATCAGTGTCACCCCCCTGGCATCAGGGCCAGTCCTCTGATGTCAGTGTCATGCCCTGACATAGGTGTCACCCCCCTGACATTGGTGCCACCTCCCTGGCGTCATTGCCACCCCCTGACATGGGTGCCACCCCTGACATAGATATCACCCCTCTGGGATTGGTGTCACTTCCCTGACATCCTGACATTGGTGCCATCCCCTGACATTGGTGTCACCTCCCTGGCATCAGGGCCAGCCCTCTGGCATCAGTGTCATGCCCTGATATTGCTGTCACCCCCTGCTATCAGTGTCACTCCCCTGCTATCAGTGTCACTCCCCTGCCATCGCTACCAACCCACGGCCGCGTTCCCGTGTCCAGCTCGGGAGGCCTCAGTGGGGCCATGCCCAGGGAGATCCGCGGGGCAGATCCCACAGAAACGGGGTCGGAGCTGCCCCGGTGCCTCTGAGCCCCCAGGAATCGCTCCATGTCCCCAACTTTGCACCATGAACACCAAAACCCCTCCTGTGCTGCTTCCAGCACCCCCAAAAACCTTCCCGGGCTGATAAAATCCCGCTTGGCATCTCAGAGCTGCGAGCTGAGGCTTCTCCTCCTTATGAAACCCATTTTTCACGGGGCACAACCCCTCCCGTCCCCTCGGGGCTCGGATCCAAATCCCAAAGGCTCCGTCTCCTGCCAGGAGCGGGATCTTTTCCCCGTCAAGGTGATGGAGCTCCCCGACGCTCTTCGGGGAAATAAATGCGAGCTGCGGGTCTTCCTCCGGCTGCGAGCGGAGATGTTTGAAATGTGGGAACGCGGCTTTTTATCAAAAAGTAATCCGAGGAGCCGATGGCTATGAATAAAAGATAGCAGGGGATGGCAGCTCCTCTCCATCAGGGGACTCTGCCGATGAATCCGCTCCCCGAGAGAGATAACGGGGCTGGAGGGGCTGCAGAGGCCACACAATTCCGGCGTGGAATGAAATCCCCACAAAAAAAGGGAAAAACAGCAAAGGGGGAAGGGGTGGCAGCTGCTGGGAGTGTTCGCTCCGAGGTGGAAATGTGGGTTTTTTTGGGAAAAGTGTGGATGATGCCGTGACGGGGGCTCTCGCTCTGGGAAATGCCCAAATCTGGGGTTTATTTGTGTTGGTTTGCAGAGTTTTGCTGTAACTTTGGGTTGTTTTGGTTTTTTGGGGTTTTTTTTTTTCCCTTGGGATGGAGCATGGATGCACTGCTTGGATCTGGATTTTCAGGAGAAGGTTCGATCCCATCTGCTCCCATCTCCACCTGGGAATGACCCTTCAGTGTCCCCTCATCCCGGTGGGCAGGACAGGGCTGGGCTGTGCCATGGGATTTCCCATTATCCAGGGGTTTATCCTGCCCAAATTTCTCCATTTCTCCTCATTCCTCCATGTAGGACAGGGTTGAGCTGTGCCATGGGATTTCCCATTCTCTGTGGGTTTATCCAGCCCAAATTTCTCCATTTCCCCTAATTCTTGCAGGCAGGACAGGGTTGGGCTGTGCTATAGGATTTCCCATTCTCTGTGGGTTTATCCAGCCCAAATTTCTCCATTTCCCCTAATTCTTGCAGGCAGGACAGGGCTGGGCTGTGCTATAGGATTTCCCATTCTCCATAGGTTTATCCACCCCAAACCCCTCATTTCTGCAGGCATGACAGGGCTGGGCTGTGCTATAGGATTTCCCATTATCCATGGGTTTATCCTGCCCAAATCTCTCCATTTCCCCTCATTCCTCCATGTAGGACAGGGTTGAGCTGTGCCATGGGATTTCCCATTATCCATGGGTTTATCCACCCCAAACCCCTCAGCATCCCCTCATTCCTCCATGTAGGACAGGGTTGAGCTGTGCCATGGGATTTCCCATTATCCATGAATTTATCAATCCGACATCCCGGCCTGATGCTCATCCTGATCCGACAGGGGCCTGGCAAGGGAGCCGGAGGTGACAGAGAAGAGATAATTCTCCTGCCAGGGTAATTAACCTGCCAGGGTAATTAATTAACCCTCCTGGCTCAGGGCCTAATGAGGGGAAACCCTCTCTGCTGGAATA